GGTGTGGACCACGGCCTCTAGGCTTGGTGTGGACCACGGCCTCTAGGTGAAGCATGGTGCGGTCTAGAGGCTAGGTGCCAGTATGGACTGGGTTGGAAGGACTGTTGTTCTGAATATTTAATTTTTCAAAAACTTATTCCTAATGATCTATAATGCTGGACTTTATTTTTCCCCGATTCTTTACCCCCTTAGAATTTGTACTTAATCAGCACCTAGGTACCTTTGTACCCAAGATGGCACTGTAAATGGTGACTTGTAAACTTTCCAGTCTACTCATTAGAGTATGTGACAAAGCCAATTCTAAAATTTTTAAAAATGATCATTCAGTAATCACAACCATTCTCCTTTGTGCAGGATAGGACTCCAACCAGTGAAGAATTTCACCTCCCCCCAGTTCCATTTCACTCCAGTTTTGCTAACACTCCTTGGTGCTACACTTAGTCAAATGTGTCCTTGATGTCAACCACAGTCACTTGCACCTCACTTCTGCAATTCTGTTCTTTTGTGCACGTCTGAACCAAGGCTGAGATGAGACAGTTGATGACACTTTCCATCACTTTACTGATGACCAACAGTAGACTGATAGGGCAGTAATTGGCTGGGTTAGATTTGTCTTGCTTTATGTGCACAGTACATCCCAGGGCAGTTTTATACATTGTCAGGTAGATGCCAGTGTTGTAGCTGCAATGGAACAACTTGACCAAGGGTGCAAGTAATTACTGAGCACAAGTCTTCATTACAAATGCTAGAATATTGTCAGGACCACAAGCCTTCGCAATATTCAGTGTCTTCAGCTGTTTCTTAAAGCTATTATGTTAAATAATTGTTTGAAGACATGCATCTGTGATGCTGGAGACTGCAGGAGGAGGCGGAGATGGATCATCCACTTGGCAACTCTGGTTGAAGATGGATGCAAACATGCAAGCCTTGTATTTTGCAGAGATGTGCTGGGTTCCCCCATCGAGGGTGTGCAACCTTCAGCTTCTCTGTTAGTAGTTTAATTATCTACCACCATTAATGACTGATGTGGCAGGACTGCAGAGTTTATAGTCTGATCTTGTTGTCATGCGATCAATTAGTCCTATCTTATTACTTGTTGCGACAAAGTTTGGCTTGTAAGTAGCTCTGTATTGTAGCATCATCAGTTTAGCACTTCATTTTTGGGTATGTCTAGCGCTGCTCCAGGTATGCCCTCCTGGACTCAGAATTAGACCTGATCTCTTTGGTTCATGGTAATGATAGAGTGTGGATATGCTGGTGCCGTGAGGTTATAGACTGTAGGCGAATCCAATCTACTTTAGCTGATGGCTCACAGCAACACAACTGGGCATCCCTGACGTGCTAGGTCTGGACCTGCTGCAAACCCAATCCAGCGAGTTGTGCCCTTTGGGACTCGGTCAAATCAGTAGTGGTGCTACCGAGTCACTTTTGGTGTTCAAGTTTGAAGTTGCCTACCAAGGGATCATTGTGTCTTTGCCACCCTCAGTGCTTCCTCCAAATGGTGTTCAACATGGAGGAGTACTGATTCATCAGCCTGGGGTGTAGGGTAGACCAGTAGTAGGTTTCTTTGCCAATGGCTAACCTGTTGCCAAGTGATTTCATGGAGTCCAGAGTCAATATTGAGAACTCTCAGGGCAACTACTTCTTGACTGCGCTGCCACCTCAAGCGATGCAAGACATAACTAGTTATGGTGATATTGGTAGGGCGAGGTTTATAGAATTAACAGGCCCAGGTTTGCTGCTGTTGTTTCTGGTGCATGGGTCAATGCCAGGTGCTCCATCCAACAGCTTTCTTTTCTTTGAACTTTGCAGAGATTTGATACAGAGATAGTAGGAACTGCAGATGCTGGAGAAGCTGAGATAACAAAGGTGTAGAGCTGGATGAACACAGCAGGCCAAGCAGCATCAGAGGAGCAGGAAGGCTGACGTTTCGGGCCTAGACCCTTCTGATTTGATACAATTGACTGTAATCATTAGAGAGCCAGAGGACAATTAAGATTCAACCACATTACTTTGGGTCCAAGTCACACGTAGGCCAGACTAGGTAAGGATAGTAGATCCCCTTGCTTACAAAGGCCATTGGTCAATGAAATGGTTTTTAGTGACAATTAATAGAAGTTGTGTGGTCACATTAGGCTAGCTTTTTAATTCCAGTTTTTGTTTTAACAAAAATCAAATTCAAATTTTTCCATCTGCTGTGGAGGGATTCAAGCCCATATTCCCATGACATTAACCTAGGTTTCTGTATTTTTAAGCCCAGTGACATTATCACCATGCCACCATCTCCCCAAATCAGTTGTGCATTTCAGCACTGACTACATTTCAAAAATATTTCGTTGGCTGTGAAGCATTTTGGAACACAAAAAAGTTGTCAAAGGCACTAACTATATGTGTTATTTCGCCACCCCCCAACATGAACTAATTTCCTTTTCGATGCTCAAGGATTGTGTTTTTCCAGGTTTTTCATCTCCCCATCCCAACCACTGGTCAAATTATGCACTGATTCACTCCTAAGTGCTTTTGTTTGGTGTACTTTATTAGACTGCAAAGGCAATCATGTACGAAGACAGATAAAGAGATTGCTTACTCAAAAGTAAGCATAAAAAAAAAATTAATTTTGACTTTTAAGCCAATGTAAAAGCAGTCTCAAAACAGCATCAGAAACTTAAAACACCGCAACAATCAAACTTTATTTCGGTCTTAAGAGGAAACTTGCTCAGATTACAAGTAAAATCTCATTAAATTGCTCAAGGGAGAACTTTCAATGCCAGAGTTGGATGTTAATTGGTTTAGATAGACATAGCTTTCTTAAACAGGTTTAGGAATGCAAAAATCAAAGCAGGTTATATACACAAGCATGTCACATATAGTATGCCAAATCACTCAAATCCATGATATTAAGTATGCACACAAAATAAATTTTCTAAAATGTAAAATGTAATTTGCAATGGAATGATGCAGTCTCAACTCGCAACAATGAGCAGCACTACCTAGAATATGCAAATTACTTACCCTCTGTCGATCCTGCTTTGAAACAATTTAGCAAAACAGGAATAATGAGATAACAAAATGATGAGACAGTCAAAAGCTACTTCAAGCAATCAAGTAATGGTAATATTCAGTACTCTATAGTAATAGTTGAACTAAACTGACATATTTTAGTAAAAACACAATGATACCACTTTCTGGATGTTAAGTGAAAAGAAAGAAGGATACAGTAAAAATTAATAAACTAATACTTTCTTCAGAATACAAGTCACTTAAAATAACAAGTCATCTTGATATAAACCTTGTTTTGTGATACTTAAGGTACACCTGCAAAAATTCGCAAAACTTGCTTACTTCTCAAGGAGGATCAGAGCTGTGCTGGGATTCACCCTTAGATACTTGGATGTAGCTTGCCCATAATCTGCGAGATATGTTGACCAGTCCCACACCATAAACAGGTCAAGTAGCTACAAAAGACAATTAACACATGGTATTATTATTTTTAATCCAGGTGCTGGCATAATTGTGATTTTCTTGAGATTTGTTTTTAAAATTGATACCAAGCTGAAAGGAAAGGAACTCACGGTGAAGTAGTAAGGCTGAACTGAAAGCAGGTTACCTCCAGACTTCCTTTTACACAAATTTAAAGTCAGACCTTTTACACAGAATTGGTTGAGATACAATCCAATGTTTGCACCTAATTTGAATCAAAATGCTGTGCATGCAAAACAAATTTATCCAAATTCCAAATACTGTATGTCACAAGGTCACTTCAGGAGCTTAAATGAACATAATTTGAACTGGACAAGTGTGAACAGTCTGCTTCAAATGTCCATTATTTCTTGATGAGCCTAACCCAGGTATTGAACAGGCATTTTTGTTTTGGTATTTGGGTTCCTGGAGAGCAATGAACTGGAAACCTGTGACTTCTTAGTATCAGTCTCATTTTTAACTGCAGCTTGTATACTACTAGCTACCATTGGAAAACCAATGGAATTTGGAATTTACTTTTCCAGGTCTTGACCTCTGTTTAGCATCATGTTTTACTTGTGGCTACATGCCATCATTTTCTGTAAATTCAAAAGTGCAGAGTAGAATAATGACTCAATTTTTCAGTTAATATCAGCAGTTCCTTTGAACAGCACCTCAATTCCTGACTAACTCCTGGTAAGAACATTCCGTATTGACTAACATCACAATGAAGTACTTCAGCAGTGCTGGGGATGCAATTCTTTAGCAAGTATATGAATCCACTTCCGGTCTGATTGCTAAAGTTGGTGTTAAAAGTTCCCTAGCGCCATATTTTTAAAAAAAAATTGCATTACTGCTGGGATTCTGGGCCATAATCACACTTTCAACCAACACCAATCCAATTAGCTGTTCATTCATCATGGCTGTTATAGGATATCTTTAGGTGATTGGGACAGCTGAGAGATAGAGTATTGTTACACAGAGCAAAACTGGGTTGGATACTGGACAGTTCATTGTATGCATGTGGAACAGATGCACACTTATGTAAACAGTGATTTGTTCATCTGGAGTGGAGTCAGAGAAATTATCCTGATTTTCTTAGCCTAATTGGTTTTGGTTCTCAATTTTTCACCTATTCTAGGAGATTCTATGGAACTGGATGGTTAGGAAGTGTCTGTACTGTGATGGGCAAGACATCAAGACTGTTTATGGGTTTAGGCATGAAATGTCAGCTTTCCTGCTCGGCCTGCTGTGTTCATCCAGCTCTACACTTTGTTATCAAGGTGGATCAACATTTCCTGTCTGCCATGTTCAGATGTACACCTGAAAAAAAAAAAAAAAAAAGAGTTTTGCAAATAAAAAACAGAAAGAAACCCAAAAAACACACGCAGAATCCTACTCTTGTACTAAATTATAATATTAAACTCCAAAGGGAAGTGAAAGTGGAATAGGCCTAATGTTCAAGTGGTGGAATACTTTTCCTTCAATTAGAAGGCCTAGAATTCTATTTTTTGGCGATGTCTGCCATGTAAAACCTGGTTATAAAAAGAGTCAGTAAAGTGCATTTGTAGTCCAGCCTCCAGATGCAGCAGTGCACATCAGCATGGTCACTATCTGCAGAGGAGTAAAAGACAAATAAATCTATCTCAAGAAGCATATAGCAACTGACTGAGCATTGGTCAAGTTGGTCACGGGTAAGACTGTAGAACTCATAACTGCCACCACTGCAGAAAAACCTGGACTCGGTCATCTTTGATTTCCAGTTTGGTGATTGAGGCAGATTCCTTTTAAAGGGATATAGATCTACATCTGTAATGCTGCAACCTGCAAGGTTACACACCAGGATGCTGGTGAACGGAATTGGAGTGAATGGCTAGTTTAATCAGCTGGTACTGTAACTTTACAACCACTAATGACAAGGAATGCCACATCTTCAATCAAGTTCATACTAGTTTTGCATAAAAAAATTTGCTTATGCTGGTCACCAAGCTCAAAAATTGCTTTTTTAAAAAAAAAAAAAAAAAAAAAATGGCTATCCGATAACTTGTGCAAAACAACATGCCATGCCAGTAAATCAAGGATTTCAGTGTGCTGAGTGTGGGAGACAATGATAAGACAAGACAGGAGATTTAAGATGCTGGAATGGTAAGATGATGCAAAAATATTACATAACTAGTCCAGGATATAACTAAAGATTCCATGCCACAAAATATCTTCATCTTCTACAAAGGCTGGATGGCCACTCAAACTACCTTATAGTCATTATATCCTATGAATGTGTATTTCAGCATAATACAAAAATCATTACGCAATAAAGCCTCAGATCACTTACATTTTCCTAGGGCTTCACGCACCAAGGCACTGAAATACAGATAACTGCATAACACATTGATCGCATCTCTTGCGTTTACCCCACCTCTGCCCTCACATCCCCTCCCCCAACAAAAACAAAGATAGAAGAATCCTCCTTGTCCTCACATATCATCCCACTAACCTCTGTATCCAACGTATCATTCTCCGCCACGTCCACCGCCTACAATCCGACCGCATAACTAAAGATATATTTCCATCCCCACCCCTATCTGCCTTTTGTAGGGACTGCTCTCTCTGCGACTCCTTCGTCCACTCCACACTCCCCACCACCCCGGCACTATTCCCTGCAACCACAGGAAGTGCTACACCTGCCCCTACACCTCACCTCCATTCAAGGCACCAAACAAATCTCTCTCATCAGATAGAGGTTCACCTGCACGTCTGTCAATGCGGGCTACTGCATCCGCTGCTCCCGACATGGTCTCACTGATGTAGAGGAGGCCAAGCGGAGGCTTGGAGACCGCTTTGTAGAGCGCCTGCTCTCTGTTCATGACAAATGACAACACCTTCCAGTCGCGAACCATTTCAACTCTCCTTCCCACTCCCTGGGTGATACGTCCATCCTGGGCCTTCTCCAGCATCAAAACGACGCCACCAAGAAACTGGAGGAACAGCAACTCATTCTGCCTTGGGAGCCTACAGCCCAATGGCCTAAATGTGGACATTACCAGTTTCAAAATCTCACCACCCCGGCCTCATTCCATGACCAAACGTCCCTCTCATCCCCATCACCTCCTTGACCTGACATGAACCTGTCCACCTTCTCTCCCACCTATCCACCCCTCCCTCTTCACTGACCAATCCCCACCACTGCCTACCTACACTCACCTATCACCCTCCTACCGATCTGCCCCAGCCCCACCCTCCTCCCTCTATTTATTTCTGAGCTCCCTTCCCTCTCCCCCCCATTTCTGGAGGGTCCCGATCCAAAACATCAACTTTCCTGCTCCTCTGATGCTGCCTGGCCTGCTGTGTTCCTCCAGCTCCACACTTAACTCTACATTGACATGGAGGTTGGTTTGGAGGGTGTGTAGTAGGTCTTTTACTATGCATGTGCTCCTTCAGAGCTCATCTAGGTAATTACAGGACAGTCATTTTAACATCTGAGGTGGGGAACTTTCAGGCTTGTATCCATATAGAGAAAATAGAGCTTGAAGAAGCCACCACGGAATTCTGAAGGAAATATTACAGATGATAAATCTCCTTTGAGGATTTAACGGATGTGGAAATAGGGGGAAAAAAAAAAACCATGAACCTACAGAAATTTTAGGAAACAAAGTATCATACAGGGCAGAGCAGACGAAGTGGTGTGAAATAGGACGGGAATAGAAATTGGTTAGAAGGAAGGAAACAGAGAGCAGGAGTTAAAGGAAGATTCCTCCAGAGTAGTTGGGTGGATGGTTGATTCCTACTGGGCTCAATTTTATGGCAACTCCTGTTCATTAAATGTGTCAATGATTTGGATATGGAATTAAGAAAATCTGATAACCAAAGTAAGAAACAGTTAACTCTTTAGAAGACCAACAGGAGCTGTGAGGGAATGGTTGGTACAGTGGCTCAGTGGTTAGCACTGCTTCCACTCAGTGCCAGGGACCTGGATTCGATTCCAGCTTTGAGTGACTGTCTTGTGTGGAGTTTGAATGTTCTCCCAGTGTCTACATGAGTTTCTGACAGCTGCTCTGATTTCCTCCCACAGTTCAAACATGTGCAGGTTAGGTGGATTGGTCACGATACATTGCACTAGGGATGTGCCAGCTAGTTTGATGAGCAAGGGTAAACACAGGGTAGTGGGGGTGGGAAGGTCTTCAGAGGGCTGGTGCAGACTCGATGGGCCAAATGCCAAATGCCCTCTTTCCACACTGTAGGGACTCAGTGATTCTACTTTATGATTCTACGTTGGCAAGGTAGTGAAATGGGCTAAAATGTGGCAGATAGATTACAATGTTCAAGTGAGACGATGCAGTTTGCTTAAAAAAGGCAGCAACTACACTCTGAAAGAAAGGACTCCTGACTGTGCAGGAGCAGAGAAATTTGGGAGTATAGCAGAGGACACCAAAGGAATCACCCTTAGGTTGATGAGAATGTTAAAAAAGAAGTGTAGAAAAATGGGTACAGAAGGGGTAAATATGTTTAAAACTTTACATAATAAAGGCCATGAACTGATTTGAAAATTTGATAGCAGTTTGAGAAAAGCATTAGAAAATTTAATAATAAAAGGTAGAACTTGTTGGAAAAATTCAGGTCTGGTAGTATGTGGAGAGAAAGCAGTCAACATTTTGGGTCTAGTTACCTTTCTTCTCTGCTTTTTGTCCAGATGCTACCAGACCTACTGAGCTTTACCAGCAATTTGTTTTTGTTTCTGATTACCAGCATACATGGTTCTTTGATTTTTTTTTTTTTAAAAACTAAATATAGAAATTGCTCACTTATTTCCCTGAACTTAAATCACTTCAAAAACAGAAAATAAGTCATCTGTATATATGAAAGAAAACTGAAATTTGAGCAATAACGGTGCTTTCTTTTAGCGGCTGGTAATTCCAAACACTGATACAGCCTAATTTTCCTGGTCTATCAGCTCAACCTCTTTATTAACTACTTTAAAAGGAATGGAGTCCTAGAATTGCACACTGGTAGGTTTTGTCAATTCTCAGACACGTCAGTAAAATGATGAAGCACCTTGCTGTAGCAAACACTTTCTTTGGGCAAGACAGGAAAAGATTTGGCCTTTGACTCTTATTAGACAATTAAAGGTGCTGACAATAGTTATATAGAGTACCAAACATCCATGACCATTCTCTCCTTCAAATGGAAACAGACTACGTGGTGTGTTGTGTCCTCTCAACATTTATGTTGTTACGAGGGGGAGGGGACGGAACGGAAGGAGATGAGGAATGAAACAAACAAACAGTCAAGGATTAAAAGTTATAGCCTCTAAAATGGAAAGCGTATCTTAAAACCATTGCTTTGCACATTCTGCTTAATTGAGAAGGTCAAATCAATGAATGCACGAGTTAACTATTCTGACAAAAACTACTCTTTCAAAAGAAAATTGTTACTACTTGTATCTCATTTTCCATTTCTATTGGCACACTATATTGCCACTAAGTCATAAACCACATTTCCACACTTGTTAGAGAGAGCTGAGAATCAAAACAAATTCAAATGCAATCAATCGTAGGGACAAGTATCAAAGGAAGAAGCCATTTCAAATTTCAAGTAAATTAATGTTTGCATTTTGTTGTATATCATGTGATGCTATCACATCCACAAATGCAGTTTAACAAAATTTTAAAAGCAATAAATTTTCCTATAATCAGAAAAAACTGCAATTACTGCATTTGACAAAAGCTTGCCAAAGCAATAATGCTTTAA